AGTGCGATGAAATAAAAAATTGCTCCAGAGGCAAAGTGGTTAAGGTGAATAAAGGCCATTTTGAACTAATATTGTACTAATATAATAATCGCACGGCCAAGACATTTATGCTCTCCCCTAGCTGGAAGAGGGAAATACTAGGGCTAAAAAAAACTCAAGGAAAATAAGCATCTACATTGGCATCAGTAATCCACTAAAGGCTTCATGTTATATTATAGACAGAAAAATGGCAATTAGAAGCTTATTAGTTGCATATGAAACTATCTCCTGCCTTGACTTTTCCGACATTACCAGCCAATGTTCTAACTTTTTCGACCAATCGTTTAGAAGAGAGACATTAAAGCGCCTAAATTCAAAGCAAATCACGAGTAGATGATTGCCACTACAAATACATCAAAGTCACAGTATGGATACAACAGGATCAAATGTATGAAGGTGATAATTAGCTCTATTCTTTGTGCGTTTCATCCTTCTACTGATTACTAATGCATAAGAACTCTTCTCTTGATACAATACATAAATCCCGTGCGTAGGACAGAAATGCTCGGAGAATTCACCCAGCTTCAGACTACACAGCTAACTGCTAGATGAAGCAGATATATATAATCAGTATATGAGAGAATCATATAAACTGCGGCTGATTAAAGAGTCATTCCTCCATAAAACTGATATTTTACGTAATGCTGGAAAGGTAGGTCACATTAAAAGTCCTCATGTCCCTCAGGTACTTTGATGGTGAGGTATCTGTATCAAACGTTCTCTGCTCAAATGTGGCAGCCATGATATAAGGGATTCCATACTCACTTGTGGAGTTATTATTTTTTTTGTATTTTAAAGAATGTGGTGGAAGAAGAACATATGAAAACAAACTTGATGTAGAAGAAGTATGACTGCAAGGTAGGCTAGGAACTATGCAAAGTAGGTTTTTTTGTTGGACCCCTCAAGACCCATTAGTCCATTGAACTGGTCAACCCACTCCATGCCTTTATTGTCTATATACACTTATATATAACAAAAACTGTATATACAATACATAATGTATATATACATAAAAATAATAGGCATAGACACTAAGGGGTTGATTTACTAACCTTATAAACACACCACGAACATGTATACACCTCTGTAGTGTGTTCCCTCCCAGCATGATCTATGGGTGGAATCTAAACACCTTTGTAGTGTGTACACACCCAGCAGGTGTGTTGTGCAAAGCCCTGCCCTGAATTGCAAGGTGATGTTGTGTAAATTAGCTCTACGTTGTGTTGCTTGCGTTGATGAATGCAGGAATGTAAATGCATGAGCTAACCATTTTTGTCTAAACTGTGAAGCAGCATTATATATGCATCATGTGCATGATTTTTCCATATATGGCATTAGTGGAAATATGCTTTTAGAGACTTTTTGGTTGATAAATACGCTTTGCTGTGTAAAAATCACATGCACCTGGTGCGTGCGTGTGTTTAGGTTAGTAAATCACCCCCTAAGAGTAGCGTTATAGCATATAAACCTTTTTTTTTATTTTGTATAGAGTAGAAAAGTGTTAACAGCCTTGTCGGCTTTGTCCTGCCCTCTGTGCCTGGGGAGATTTCTCTTTCTTTCCTGTCCAGGAAATCC